CGACACTCTTCGCTCCGTCCGCCAACCGTGTACTTCACTGAAGCGACGCGCCGTAATCGACACGACGGAAATTGAGACTAAGGAAGAGCTAGAAACGCCCATACGTCTCCCGTCTTGCCGATCAAATGTCGAAAGGCACACCACGAGCAAGCAGAGTCTTGGGCCATCCGCCCACGAGCAAGCAGAGCCTTCACCACGGCCGATGGCTTTGCTATGCCGACTATGGCGACTAAATAAATTTGCAAGATTCCGTCTCTAGAAGATTCCCACTTTCAATCAATTGGCAAATGCGTATGATTTGACTAAATGGACCACAGTTCCCAGTAGTGTCATGTTGATTCCTTCCACCGATTCTTCCTTTGACTGCTGCAGGACACTTCAACTACAATACCGCAAGACCTATTGTAGTAGTAAAATCTTGTATTAATAATTTTCTACATCTACAGATTCGTTAAATCTTTCTGTGAGATAGTGTAGGCAGCTTTTTCAATCTTTGCCGGTATCCCATTTCCAAGAAGACGAAAAATTGATTTGGTTGATTCGTCGATCCAGTCATCGCCAGGGAAACAATCGGCATATTCATTCCCCACAACGAGTTTCTTTCGCAGCTGGTTACGTTCTGAAGGTGTATAAAGATGTGGGCAAAGATTGGAGAACAGTCTCACTGTATTCTCAAAGTTCAAAGGCCCAAGTTGGTGGGGGTGTTCTACTTGGCCACCGATAGACGGTTGGCCAAGTGAATGTTTCGATGTCAAAAGGATTTTCACTTGCTTCGTGTCATAAAGCAACGAGCTCAAAATCATTGGGAGTTCTTCCGAATCATCTTGGTCCAAAAGCTCAGTGCGATCGAATACAATCAAAGCCTTGTCATTCTTCAAGCTCTTACAAACAGCGTCAAGCATTGTCTCGAGATCTGCATCCTGATCAATTGGAGCACTTTTTCCAGACTCCTCCAGTTTGTCCATCAGTTGACGAAGTAGCGAGCGACATGTAACGTTGCGACCGCCGTGCTTCGGTCTGATAAAATAGATATGCTGGACCTCAGTTACCGTGCTTGCACGCTCGTTGATGTAGTGGCACAGAGCGCAAACAAGCGACGAACGACCAATTCCAGGCTCTCCGAGTACAGACACTAGCCGCTTTCGCATCTTCAGGATAGCTGTTAGGACATAGTACATGTCAACTTCTCTACCCAAGAAACAATTGGGAGCAGATGGGGCAGGATCTTCTTGAATCATGTTTCGAACACTCAGCTCAGAATTTTTCGTTCCCCCAGTTATTGCAATGGAGCTTCTCTGGTTCCTTGATGATAACAACCATGAACCGCGCTTGTTCTTCGCTTTTGTGCCAATCTGCTTTGGCCACTGAGGAACACGCCGTGCTCTGAAGACAGGAACATTGTGATTTCCGTCCTTTGGAAGTAGAACAAACTTTTCCATTTCTTTCTCAGGATCTTTGAGGTTTGGAGTGGCCCTCACTGCTTTGCACCCCTGTTCAAAGGATTCCTTGACGGTTTGTCCAACAGCAAGTGCTAGATAGAATGATCGTGTAAATGCGAGTGCAGCTGTATCCTTGAGTTCCGACTCTTGTCGGCAACACACAACATGGGGAACACCGGCGGATGCAAAGGTCTCGCCAGCGAGCCCAGAATGACATGCTGATACAAAGACAAACTTGAATGGTGCAACTCCATCTCTAACAATCAAATCTTCGATATCTTGTACATTCAACCAATTTGGGCCACCCATTCCGTCTTCAAATGGCAGGAAGTTGCTTGGATGACCATGCCCTGAATAGTGCAAGCAACTGCATCGTTTTGTTAGCGTCGCCAGCAAACGCGAGTGATGAGCGTTATCAAATGAAAGCTCTATGTCACGCGAAGCTTCCTTCATGCATTGCCAAAGCAACTCTCTCTCCATATCAAAATCAAGTTTGGCAAACGGATGAAGGTAGTTTTCGTCGTCTGCAAAAACAAGAGGAGCAGAGAAGAGGACAGTGATCATGTTATCTCCTGTGTCAACCTCGTCCAAACCAAATTCAGGAATGGCGGCAACCTCGTTTTGCCCAGTTTCCTGACCCTTTACCCGCCTTTCTATTGCATTCTTCCTTGATTTTCTGAGGAATTTATCAAGAGTATCTTGTTGTGATCTTGTCAACAAAGGACGATTATTCTGAAGCTGCAAGAACGATAAGCCGCTGTCTACCTCTACATCAGAAAGATGGTGGAAGATGTAATCGATCAATGGTGCGCTGAATTTGTTCCCGGATAGATTCAGATGTGAAAGAGCAGTATTTTTCGGCAATGAGCCAGCAATGATCTGATAAGGATCCCCTTCTAAACCATTGTTGGATAGATCCAAGTACTTTAAGGAGAGAGCATTGTTCTGGGCCAAACCAAAAATCTCAAGCGCAACTTGACCCAAAAAGAGGTCATTCTCTGCCAAGTTCAATGTGTGTAGAGATGATTTCCAGCTGTTTCTGGTTGTTGTACCCTGGAGTTGATCGTACCTGTAGTACTCAATATATGATTTCAAAACTCGTACGACATTCGCTCCGCGGCCAATTTTGTTTCCAGATAGGTCGAGCTTTTCTACACTGCACCCAGAGTCTTTTTCGTGGAGAAGCTCAAGTACTAAGGCACATGCTTCGTCCCCAAGCTTGTTCCCACTTAGATCAAGTACTTTCAGAGAAGCTAGCGGCATCGAAACTGGACCCCGAGTCGACGGACCAGTTTTTCCAAGAAGGTTAAAGAAAATTCCCCATGTTTCGCGGGAAATGTGAGGCGTATTCCGAATGCTCATGCAAGTATACTTTCCCTGGCTCTGATTGTTTTGTGTTGACCCTCCAATGTTTGAATCAAGAGACAACTTTCCCATAGTGTCGAGAATAGATACTAATGATCTTAAGTCTTTGTCCCCCAGAGTATTATCAAACGTCAGAAACGAAACCCATGGTGGTAAAGAGCCTGCAAGGTTTGCCAGCAATCCACTCCCAATCTCATCATCGCTATGGGTGTCTCTTCCAATTCCAAGGAGACTGGATTTCTTCGAAAATGAGAGTCCAGTGATCATTGGACATAGGTAGAGTGTTTGCACAAGAGACTCGACAAACTCGCCTGCGAAGGTACTATTGGTGAAACAGAGTGTCCAGTGGACATCCACAGAGTCAATGACGGCAGCCTGCTTTTCGCAAAGGCGCGCGAGAAGCTGGCCTTCCCGCCGAAACGAGAAGTACTGCCGTTGGGGCATCATCAATGCCCGGAAGTCGAAACTCGCTTCTGGAGAAAAGTCCTGCATTGGAATGATCTCATTGCGCAAAAGCACACATGGAAAGCAACTATCGAGAAGCTTTTCTACCCTCTCTGGCAAATAAGGCGAAGAGCTAAATCTGCGCTCGTCGTTTGACAACACCCTTTGTCGGTGGGATAGCACCCAATCTCTTTCCACCATTGCGTGGTTGAGTGGGAAGACATGTGAAGATAGTAAGCTCCTTTTGTCTTTGGAATCGTCAATCACATGGTCGATTCCGTAGTTATTCTCGAGCCTGATCAATTCATGCTGATACACATAATGATATTGCTGCAACAATGTTTCCCTGTAGCTCATTGAGTCGCGATCTGAGGTGAAATTTTCGAACAACTGATCTTCTCGGCCCACGGACCAGGAATTTGACTCATTTCGTTGAAGGTTACTTAAAGACAATTTCACATCAGAATCTTCAAGTGGGGAGGTCCACATATCGGCAACTTGCGCCCGGATTTCGTCACGGGCCATAGCTTGAATTACAATTCCTCGATGGAGACAGAACCAATCAACTAAGAGCCTAGGGTCGTTTCCAGCAGCTTGTACAGCAATTTCATCTTCTGTGAAACCGAGGGAAAGCAGCACTTGATTGGCAGCGTTTGATACGTCTCCTGTATCACCACTAAGAGTCTTAAGCTGAAGAAGTTTGGCTATCGTCTGGTCCACAATCTTAATTTTCAGTGGTTCATACTCTGCCAATGCCCCAATCCCTTTCAGAGCGTCAATCCAAAGGTCTGACGACAGTTCTTGATGAGTAGTATTGCTATCTTCTTCACCTCCAGCATCCAACATCCGATCAAGGGACTCAAAGACGCTGATGGCCCACTTAGCACTGCCACTGGAAGACGCAAGGTCTGACAGAAGTAGGGGCGATAGATTTGCAAGTGATTTGCATGCTTCGGCTACCAAGTCTTCTCTGTCGGGCATGAAAACACCGCTTTGAGAAAGGGGAGACGGAGTTAATGGTAGTGATGAAATCCAAATCAAAGGATCCATTCCTTCGCTCTGCACTAGGCCCATGCAACCCTTGATTAGCATTTCCTTTGGATTTATTGCTTGTGACTGAGAGTACTTCGACGATGGACGCTTTTGCGATGGTTCCAAGATATTCGATAGTGCCCGGAGCGATGCGTGAACATCCTTGGCTGCAGTGAACAGTGGGCCCTCGGGGTCACGAAACTCTTGTCCAAATCCACTAGTCTCTGCAAGAGGCAACAGGTCACCCAAGCTATCCTTGAGAGTTTTCCCCAGCGCCTCAGCTGCATTTGCATTACAAAGTTGAAGACGTGTCTGACGGCCGCGATTTGTGTCTTCACTTAAAACACGAATGGCCTCAACAGATACAGAACGAAGGCGACCCTGATGCTCTAGAGCAATCTGGACAAATGAGCCGTGAGCCCAGCCTTCAATCATCTCACTGTATAGTTAGGAAGTACAAAGTGTAAGACATGCAATTCCGCAGACAATATGAATCAAAACATTGACATCTTACTTCAATACTGTTTCTTGCCTATCCATCACACTGGACCCACGTTTGCTTAACGTAGAGGTCCCGGCTTGCATTATTCCCCCAGCAGCTAATTGTAGCAGCGCACTTGCTGCATAGTGCACCATGTTTTCTGATGACGGACTACTGTGTTCATACAACAGAGATACCAAATATATGACGCAGTTTGACTCCACGACTGCCGCTCGCGTAGGAGGAGTTTGACAAAGAGCTGAAATCATCTCTGCGATAGCTTCGCGTACATCATTTCCGACAGATTCATTGAAAAGCTTGACGATTTCACTGACGGCACCTTCGTTAACAACTTGAGAATGGATCCAACCAGCATTGTATTTATCTTCAATAGAAATCAGGTATCGAAGGGCTGATGCACTTGAGCGCATCTGAGAAAGGTCTTTCGATCGAATCCACTCCACAAGAGTCGAAAGTAGCCCCTCGCGAACTGCAATAGGTCTCGCCATATCTTCAGCACAAATCTGTTCTACAATGCCATAAGCGGTTTGCACGCCTTCTTGGTTTGCCGCCTTTGCGATATGTGCGATCAAAGTCACTGCCAACTCAGTCATATCCTGTACTTCTTTCAGTTCTTGTCCTTGATCAAAAACACCGCCTCCTGATCTAGCACGAAATCTCCGAAAGCCGGATATTTGCTTTTCCAACGTTGCCATATCAACCCTCGTCACCTGTTTTGATTTCTCAAGGGCTATCAGGGGTCCAATTGTGTTGGTCCAGAGCGCATTTACTCCAGCAGATGCAGCGCGGTACATCTCTTGCCGTGAGATACTCACTTCTTGTGGTGACGCTGGGGGTGACGTGACCAAGAAGCGAAGACATTCCAAGAACTTCATTGTCATTGGTGAAGTCACCTGCGACTTCACAACAAATGAGGGGAGAACATACGCTACTGCCAAACTTGCAACCACTCGAAGATCTCGATTTGTACTCCTTCCTCGGTAGAGGGTCAAGAACGAATGCATTCCTCCAGATGATCGTATTTCATTTCTCAGTGCATCATTATCTTTTGCAAACCTCATCAATGCCAGAGCTGCAGACAGCCGTTTTTCTGTAGGAGCCCTCAACATACATATCAAGCTGAAAACGTCTTCATTTTGTACCAGCAGTTCAATCGTTGGGCCGTCCAGAACTTTTTGCTTTTGCTTCTTCTTTTTCTCTTTTTTTAGAGCTTCCTTCCCTGCATTCACAGCCGAAATAAGTTCGTCGTTGACCGTAAAGAGTTGCTCCAGATTTTGCATCCCATCTGGATTCTCTAGAGCATTGTTCAGCTTAACCTGTAACTTTTCTTGGTCTTTCTTGCAGACCTCTAACATATGTCGAATATAATCCCCATCAACTTCATTCCCTCTTGCAGCTGCTAGAAGATCCTGTGAATCTCTGTGGGCATCGGTGACATCATTAGAAGAAATAGCAGTTCCCGCTCGACTTCCTGCAACAGTGGATGCACTAGCCGCTACACCAGCTGATGCACTGGCCGCCATGCCTATAGACGTGTCACCGACAGATGTGTTGCCTATTGATCCACTACCAACGGATGCAGAGGCAGCTGGTGTATCAAGCCTTGTCGTCTCAACATCGCCGTTTTGCGCTCTACTTTCGGATGATTTCCTATCTGGTCTCGATTTTGCCTTTCGCTTCGGACTCTTGGTGCTTCGGATCCGTGCTGGTCCAGGGCTTCTATCAGTCCTGCTTCCAGAAGGTTGTCTGTCCACCGGGTCGTCGTCAGCAAGAATAGGGTTTTCTTGTGATGTGAATTGCATCGATGATGACGGACGACATTTTCTGCTTGTGACATTAGGAGATGCGCTTGGATTGTGATTTGCATAGATTGGGCTTGCTGAATTCATTCGACTTGGTGGCGAACCATGATTTGGTGTGCTAGAATAGCTCGACATTGTGGGACCAGTCGATGTTGCTCGATTGCACTCGGTAGGGGAACTTAAAGGCACCCCACCTACCGATATACCTCGCGATTCAAGTCTTGGAAGAGTAGTAGGATTCGACAATGGTCTGTGGACCGGTTTTTCGTATCCTGGAGCGCTTCCTCTGTTCCCCCCTGAAGTCTGCGAAATCTTTCGCCGTCTATCCATTGCAATTCAGTCGATGGTACGTTGTTGGAGATGGTAACTCTATAGTTACAACATCGATAGTTCCTATTTTGACAGCTCAGCCCTGTATACTTGTGTACTGGTTGGCTGCCTTCTAACCAGAACAAGTTCAAAGTCAATGATTCATACTGCAGCGGAGGTCATCAAAGCAACTCCGCGACCACAAGTGAGACCTATCTGCGACAGATTTAATATACACAAGTATTCGACCAGTTCGACCAAGCCGCACAAGAAAGAGGTATGAGACTACAGGTTTTTGGCATCAGTCTCAGCTTTGGAACCAACAAATACACCACGTCCTAATATCAACAATAGAGACCATCTAGATCAAAATGAAGGTGTTCACAATGATTTCTTGGGTTGCCATAGTTTGTAACCCAGTCAATGCCTTGATTAATGCTCGCTTATCCATGTCGCTCAAACCTCATGATGCGCCTCTGCAAGCCATACCTGTGCAAACAGTTTCCTTGGAGAGTCTTGAAAACCACGAAGACGAAGGAAGTTATATGGCGGAATCAATCCGCAAGTGGCTTGACGATGAATGGATCCCCCAAGACGTTCATATTAAAATGGCTGAGTCAGCAAAGAAATCGTACATTGCATGCAGAGAAAGTGGCCAGGATGATGTGATGGATATCCTGATGGCAATCTCCAATGATCTCGAATCTAATTGGCAAGAATATGATGCGGACAGCTTTGTCAATGCGTGGGATATTGGAAAGTAAGATCGTAAACTGATGCGAAGCTTGTTCTTGATGTTGTGGCTCACCCTTTGTTGCCCAACAATGCTTGTCTCACACTCAGCTATGCCAGCGATTACTTGATCAATAGGTCTGGAAACGAAGGCTGCGAATGCTCGGCAAAAATTTATTGAGCTGTAGAGACTCATTCTAATTGTACAGTTGCAGGAGTTACAACAGATGAATCGGTTCAGGAGGATTGTCTAAATTTCAGATACCGCTATTGGTACCTTGTCTTCTATCTGCTTGGTCATTTGGTCATTTGATGCTTGACTTCGATGCTCTTTTTTTTTGATTAGTTTTCTGAACTCCAAAGAAGCTACCAAGAAGCCCACTTGCTCTTTTTCTTCCTTTGTCTGCGACATGATGTGCTTTGATATCCGGTGATACAACCTCTTGGTCTATATCTAGAAGATCATACACATAGACGGGGTGGCCATCCGCCATGTCAAGCCACTGTTTTTGTATCAAAGATAACTCGTCCTTCATCTCCTCGAGCCTCTCTGCAAGTTTGTCGAATTTACACCTCTCTGAAGCGTCATCACTCCAATTGGTCTTGATTAGATCAACGAGTTTCGTAGGCGCTCCACCTGGAAAAGGTGGCCTTAACTTATTATTCGCAACAAGATTCGCAGCATCCGCGGCCTCCAAATCCACGAATGGTTCGTCGTGTGTCAGCAATTGCCATAGTATAACAGCAAATGAATAGACGTCTGCTTTGCTTGAATACGGTTCATGCCTAATAACTTCCGGAGCCATCCATCGGTATGTCCCAGTCTCCCCTGTCAGATTCAGCATCGGTGTCGTTTCTGATGATGCAATGCCACAACCTCCCTCGGTGTCCACGACAAAGTGATCTGCGGCCACACCAAAATCTGTTACCTTGACGGCAAATTTTCCACTAGCAACAGTCCCATCGACTTTTTCGAAAATGGTGTGGTTTGGCAAGGTTAGGAAGGAAAAAACAATACGGGGGAGACTGAGATCTGTGCAAGTTACTCACTCAAAACGTTATGGGGCTCAAGTTAAGAAACAACCAAAGGTAAGGAAAATCAACAGCAACGAAGGAGCAAAAGAAATGTCAGATGGGAACTCACCTTTAGGTCTCTATGCACAATATGTCGAGAGTGTAAGTATGACATTGCGTTAGCAACGCTAATTCCAACGTGAAAAAAAAAGTTCCTTGGAGTTGGATATTTCAGTGCTGTATTCAAGTCGCCGGCATTGCAATATTCAAGCACCAAACAATATGTCAGTGGATTTTGATGCTCGATACTACCCAAAAGGCGAATGACATTCGGGTGGTGCAAACGTTGAAGAGCAGCGACCTCTCTTCTCCATCCATCCAAGCCGAACTCAGTGATCGATGCAACCTTGACTGCAACCTTCTGTCCCGACCAATCAGCCAGATAAGTTGTTGCAGATGCCCCTTCCCCGATTCTCCTATTAAATTTGATCTCGTAGATTGAAATATCCCACGCCTTGCTTTTTTCCCGTCCAACTTGTGCCTGCAGCGCGAGCTGCATATCTTGATTCAAGCTTAACGCTGAAAGGTTGTTTATCGTTGTTTTCTGCATTATTTCTGTTTCATTTTTACAAGTGTCCTCCCCATCCAATGCTCCGATTAAACCCATTTTGACCTCTTCAGCGGACATTATTTCTACCAGTGACAATAGCTCTGTTGATGCAGTAGATGTCGAGAGAACTTCCTTCAGAGCAATCTTCAGACTTTCTGGAGCTGACGATTGTTCTTTCGACTCTCGCACAGCCTCAGAATGCGTCATAAATCCCGAGCTAGACTTGTTGAAGAAAGGAAGGGAAATTTCAAGATCCTCTACAATCAGCAACTCAATAGAGCGCAACTTATCAATATACCCCGTTAACAAATTCCAAAGACCCTCCGAGTCGTAATTCTGGTTTTGCAAGGCTTCAAAGTCGTTCAAAATGAATGTTTGTAGCTCCTTCAATCGAGGTGACATTTCAGAAAGTTCGAGAACAAGGTTTCTATGATGACCCGATGGGAGATGCTCGAGTTTATGCACTAACGAACGTTGATTTTCGACCTGCAGCACCAAATCGTTCAGCATCATCCGAATCGAATGGTTTTCTTGCTGTCGAAATACCACCACTGTAGATAAAATTGCACGTTCAATACCAGCTGATTCCTTCAGTTGAACAAATATATGCAGTAGATTCAACAGATCATGTACATTTGAATCGAAGCTTTCGTGTAGCTTATTTACCATAGATTCAGGATCTAGTGGTATCACCAGTGTCGAAGGCGACTCATTCAAACTGTTGGACGAAGCCGGTCTCCTCATTGAATGATCAGGACTCTTCAAATGCGAATTCAACTCCATTGACAAACTATTCCTTTTGTGTCTTTTGATTATACTCTTGTGATATTGACCAGGAACTTGAGGAACGATGCATTCATTCATGATGGCCGATGTGAGTATGCTGAAACAAACGAGAATGCGATGGAAGATCAATTCGTGGTTGGATTCTCTCTCGGTGTCGATCAAGTTTCGAATCTTTTTCAAGTTTGGCTGAATGGTTTGAATTTTGTCTTGCATAAGCATTGCTGCAACATTACTCACAGAACGATTCTTGAGCATTATATTCTCAAATCGATCCTTGTCAGCGTAGTAGTAAAGAGATGAGCCACGTTCCTTTTGCAAACAGTGGACCATTCGCAGCGCGTTTCTCAGAAGGGACACGTCTAGAGGCTGTTGCGGCATGGATGACGCTGTCACAGCCAAAAGGCGGAGATCAAAACAAGCAAGACAAAGGATGGTTTCGTCAATCGACAAGGTGTGGATAGGCGATCGGATGAATCAATCATCATCAATCAATCATTGAAAATTTTGGCTATCATGCCACGTACGCACGGCCAGGCGACGTTTTGATCATTTGTTCGAACTTCAACTTGTATCGTGTATTACCGGTACCTTCTTTGCACTAATGCTTGTGCCGGTACCAGGTACGGTACACGTAAATTACTTTCACCGAGAAGAGTTGATTGCAATCATCACACTAATAGCGACACGAGACAGGCATAATCCCACAAGGTACAGAATGAACAAGAAATGCTGCAATCGTAGTACTATTTCACACTACAGTACACTACTGTGAGAGACCTAATTTTCAATTAATTAATTAATTCTAATCTCCGTCCCACACAACGCAATAGTCTGCCTTGTCAATCAAGACGTACTCGAACCCGTCGACCAATGCGTTCAATGAGGCGGATATCACGTTTCTATCAACACTGACAGTAGTCCATTGCCTTTCTGTTTCTATTTCTCGGAACTCAATCATGACTCGAGTTGCAGCACCTGTCGCTGAGGTGGGATCGAGAATACGAACCTTATAATCGACCAGTTCAACGCCTTTGAGTGATGGGTGGACCGGTAAAAGAGCTTTCATAAGGGCTTTACTTAGAGCATCAACAGGTCCATTGCCGTCACTAACAGAAAGCGTGTCTTCAAACTTCAGAGATGATTCAGCAGGATCTTCCACAATTGCTCGGACTTTGATGGTAGCTCTAGAAGTGGACGTTCCAGAAGTGCCATCACCATCAAAGCTTGCCACAACTCTACTTGCACTGTCCATATTGTGGTCATATACCTGTGCACTGTAATCAAGAATTTTGAATGGCGGACAGTATATCTTAGACGCATGCAAGATCATAAGGTGCACAGAAGCTTCTGCGCCCTCGAATGTGTAACCTTGGTTCTCCAATGCTTTAACACGATTCAGAATGGCTATCGCCCGTTCTGATTTCAATTCCTCTTCTAGATCTCCAAAGAGCTCAGACATCTTCCCCATGATGTTTTGCCTTCCACTGAGCTCAGAAACTAAAACCCGCATTTCATTACCCACCAGCTCTGGTTCGATATGTTGATAGGATTGCGGGCTGCGCTCCATTGCTGCAACATGCAACCCACCTTTGTGAGCAAATGCAGAAGTTCCGACGAAAGGCAAAGTGTTGCTCGGAGTTCTGTTTAAGATTTCGTCTACATATCTCGAAAGCTTAGTCAAGTCGCTTAGATTCTCCTTACAACCCATCCCGGACTCAACATGCAGAGCAAGGGATGGAATAATCGAACACAGATCAGCGTTTCCTGTGCGCTCTCCAATTCCATTGATCGTCCCTTGAATTAGGCCAACTCCCGCATTGGAAGCACAGACACTGTTGGCGACCGCCATTCCACAATCGTTATGGGCATGAATACCGATAGTTTTTAAAGGTTCAAAGCGATTGACCATCTCTCGTGATATTGCTTCCACTTCCCAAGGCATGGTGCCGCCATTAGTATCACACATGACAAGGCACGAAGCTCCGGCATCGGCTGCTGTCTCACAGCATTTGAGAGCGTACTGTGGATCAGCCTTGTATCCATCGAAAAAATGCTCTAGATCAACCAAGACAACTTTCCCTAGACTGACCAAGTATGATACTGAGTCATGAATCATTTTCAAATTTTCCTCTGGAGATGCTCTCAATATCTCGGTCACTTGCCACGGATGTGCTTTGGCAACCATGCATATCGTTGGTACCCCAGAGTCCAAAAGGGCTTGGATCTGTGGATCTTTCTCCACCTCGACAGATTTTCGCCTGGTAGATCCAAATGCCACCAGTTTCGAGCGCACTGAATCGTCTAATTCTATTTTTGCTCGTCGAAAAAACTCTGCATCTTTGGGATTGCTTCCAGGCCAGCCGGCCTCAATGTAGTCGATATCGAAGGAAGCAAGCTTTCGTGCAATCTTCAATTTGTCGTCACAAGAAGCAGATATAGATTCACCTTGGGTTCCATCCCTCAACGTGGTATCATAAACAATGACATTTTTTGGTCCTATGACGCAGTTTTCGAGTGCTCCGATTTGTGGATTATCCAAATCTCTGATGATCCAGTCATCGGCATTTTCAAATGATTGCGAAGCAATAATACTATCAGAATCCTTTTCCACATGTGAGGTCAATATAGAGGTACTAGACGCTCTGTCAGCATGTAGACTATTTATTAGAGCATAGGTTCCTGCGACTTGGGAGCCGAGATATGCTGCGAAGATGCGTTTTAACAGTAGCATCACTGAAAAGATTGAAGATGTGTGGAAGCGAAGATTTTTGGATAAGGGTGGAGATGAAGAATTTTGCGATCATCCCGTTGACGTACAGAAAAAAAGTACTTTTTATTTTATTCTGCGTGACCAGCGTTCCGATATCGTTGTATTGGAGGAGTGAGTCATCTACTACTGATTGGAGTACGGACCCCGCGACACTGTCCTTCATTCGTCCGTTTTAGGGGGATTGTGTTGTTTTTCTTTTAGGGGGAACACTTTTACAAGCTACCGGGGGACGGTGTAAACACGGGGATTTTATCTTTCGGCTCAAGTACTCTGCCAAGGTACACAAAGCCAAAAGTACTAGATGATGACACCAAGCTAATCAAGTGGTGTGTCAAAAAATTCATAAGAAATGAAGTTCGTGTGCATCTTGGTCTTCAATCCCAAAGGGAAAGCATGTCATGTTGGGAATTCACGTGCGCGTGTAAGAACTAATGAAGTACTGTTGGGACTAACAAAGTACTTGTCGAAAATCCAGGTTTATATGGATTAAAAGTGGTGTTCAGGCGTGACAAATAGATAGGATATACCGGTAGTGGGTCAGAACCAGCTTGTCACATTGTTGAGGACCAGACTGGCTGTTTTAGCCAACATGTCAAATCTCAATGCACTTTGGCGATCATCAGATGGAATGGACGAACAAATCTACAACTTGCAGGTTACTAGATGGATCAACTACAACAATTTGCATTGAGAGTTCCGATAGGCAACTTCTCCGCCATGTCGAGGAAACAAAAGCACACAATGAATTGGGCTTCGCGATCCAACAGGGTCATGAAGTGGATGACGTTATGTTTGGAAAGCAATCGTGGGGTGATATCAACCAGCGATTCTTGGTTGAAGCCGCTGGTCTAGATGTACATTTTGGATCAAGAGATGTTCAGACACCGGAGAAACAACAGTTGGAGAAACATATTCCTAGCGAGATGGAAGAGTTGAAGCGCCCTTTTATCAAACCAAATGATCTAAGTCCAATGGAAGTAGAGCGTCGAACCGGATTCAGAGATTTGCCAAACCTCCTCTCATATGCGATTTTTGTGGGCCATCGTGATTTGGATCAGCTTTTCACAACATGTTCCAAACTCACTTGGCTTGAAGAGTGGTTGTTTTACTTTGAGTTCAAGTATGTGTTAGAAATAAGCAAAATGTGCTCTATCGTGAGTGCCTTTAGCGCTCAGAACCAACTCTCTGCAATCTAAATTTGTAATTGACTGTACAACACTTCCACGATAATAGTTCTCCTGTATTAGGTATACTTTGAGTGAAATTGTTCCTATTTGATTAAAATGTTTGGCTTGAACTGATGATTCAATGACAAAAGTGAGTTCAACAAATTTCCTTTTGGGAAATCCCTTGTTTACAGAACTGGATCCGACTTCTACAAGGATTCTGTGCCAAATACAGTACTTTGGGATATCTTGTATTATTCCCTACTGTATTGTACACAACATTGATATTCCTCTTGTATAGGGTCATTCCCTTTTCATGTGGATATAGATTGTCCGGCAGACTTGCGTCGAATCCTGACATCACGATCAAAATCTGATCGTGCGTGTCAAAACTTTGGTACTTGAATAGTTTTTTCTTGGAACGTAAAAACTCATATTTTGTCACTTCAGCAGTAGCCCAGGTTTCAACACGCTGGATCACTTGGTCGGTAACGGGTAGTATCACGACCTTGGGTCGAGAAATCATCTTCGTAGTATTGAGGTTGAGCACTCGGTGCCCAGTACGTTGTCCCTTTGTAGGTTCAATGTAGATCGCTTTGATACTTCGTGGTTCCATCGAATTGTTGGAATCCGTCCCAATGGCATGAACATACTGTCCAAGCTCAGCAACCATATCACTCTTGTAGTTGATATTGACATTATTGATGATTTGCTGCGGACTGAAATGTGAGGAAATACTGTCTTTCTGGGGAAAGACATTCAATACCTCGGCGGCTCAACGTCCAAGACATTCAGTGATCACAGTTGGGACCACGTTGTAGGGTAATCGTGCAAGAGCTACTCTGACTCTTTCTTTCAGCGTCCTATTGTTTCGCTCAGCTGTATGCTTGTGGTCTCCAGATGCAGTCGGGTCAATAGTAACACCCATATCGTCTAGCATGCTCATATCATCTGTTAGAGGGATGAACGCCCGATCACACTTGATCGTCTTGACATGAAAGTCTGCCTTGTTGTAGTGGCGGAAAATCTTATCCAATGCTTCAAATACAGGTTCAGTCTTCAGGTTCTGCATGGGAATACATGAGCAATAACGCACAGTGGTATCAATGCAGGTGAGAAAAATAGCTTTCCCGATCTCCATGTGATCAATACAGACGGTAATTGTTGGACTATGTTGATACAATTCCTTTGGTGGACTGAAGAAGTCATCGTGTGTCTTCTTCGGCGTTGGTCTTGTCGACTTCAATACGTTTCAAGAGTTTGATTGGATCTTCAAGAGTAGTAGTGAAATCGGCTTCACCTCAAAGCTTGATATCCATCGCCTTCATCAAAAACTTAAGCATGATGTTTGACTTCACAGTTTGCTTGTTCGTTTCGAAGTAGGCTGATCTTTGCATGTTCTTGTCAAGCTTTGCAGAATAGAGAATCTTGTTTTGGGCCATCTCTGTTTCTCTTGCAACAGCTTCAGTTTGAGTTGGAGCATTCAATGTTGGAGCAATTGCATTGAAGTCGATCAACTCCCCATCTTGAATCGATTTCACCATGTCTTCGGAGCATTTCATTCCAGAAGCTTGGATGTAATCAATCACTCTTTCTTTGGCATCTTCGTACGGCGATCTTGCCCTTCCATCGTTTTCATCTTTCGTTGAAAATAGATGTTTCACAACTGTTGAACTTGAATTGCTCTTGACTTTCTGAGGAGTCACACGTCCTTTTCCTCCACCGGATGAAGAACGTCCCATAGTCAACAAATCACTCACTCCTTTGTAGATAAGGCAGTGCTGTTCTTGACGTATATTTGTTTTGTTGCCTTTTGTGATTGAATGTTAGAATAATGCAAAATGTGCTCTATTGTGAGTGCCTTTAGCGCTCCTCAGAACAAACTCTCTGCAATCTAAATTCGTAATTGACTGTACAACACTTTCACGACAATAGTTCTCCTGTGTTAGGTATACTTTGAGTGAAATTGTTCCTATTTGATTAATGTTTGGCTTGAATTGATGATTCAATCACAAAAGTGAGTTCAACGATTTTCCCTTGGAAAATCCCTTTTTACATAACTCGATTTGACTTCTACGAGGATTCTGTGTTGAATACAGTACTTTGGGACATCTTGTATTATTCCCTACTGCATTGTACACAACATCGATATTCCACTTATATAGGGTCTTTCCCTTTTCGTGTGGATATAGATTGTCCGGCAGACTTGCATCGAATCCCGACATCACGATCAAAGTTCGATTGCACATGTCAAAAACTTTGTACTTGAATAGTTTCTTTTGGAACGTAAAAACTCATGTTTCGTCATATCCCAACAATCTATGCTACTTCTAGAGTATCCAACTGCCGGAGAAGAAGTAATTGTGTGTCTTCTTTGGAGTTGGTCTTGTCGACTTGCCTTTCAATGTAGATGCGTCAGGTCCAAAGATTGCTTCGGCATGATTGATTGCTTCTTCAGTGATAGGACAGTTCTTCATGAGACCAGATCGGATCGCATACTTCAGACTTTTGGTGCTTGGAGCATTGAGTATGTGCATCGTACTTCTCGCTTCCATCGCAGCCTTGACTTGTCTTGGAGTGAATTCTTCCTTGTTCTTTCAAACAGTTGCCATCTTCAAGGTCATCCCAAGTCCAGCATATCCATTCTGTCTGTTTGAAGAAAGTTCGAAATGGGGTTGTTTATTTATGTTGCTTAACTGGCAACAATACATCGCACTTGTCTCTTTGGCACCTGGTTTGACATTCGCTCCAAGTTGCTCCAACACATATACACCCTTGCAATTCACAAATCGCATCTTTCTGTCTCCATCGCAATCCACAACAAAGGCATTGTCAACATCAGTATCCATGGTAATGCAGTATCCCGCAGCAATCATCTCGCGCATAGCAAGTACATTGGTAATTCCGTCTTCATCATAATAGAATGGAGGCGGAAATCTTCCTAGAAACCCTTCTTCATCAAGAACTCTGCTGCCCACGTTAGTATGCATATCAAGTTCTTTCTCAGCTTGACGTAGTCCATGCATGAGCTCACCATTACAAATGGTGGTGTTGGTGCAACCACTGTCCATGATAACGTGATCAAGCAAACCAAATGGATATCTTTCTTTTCTGCGGCTTTGAATAAACTGCATACCTTGATCTGCTTCAGTAGCAAGATCTGGGAAGTCTTCACTTTCACTAGCATAGTGCCAGTCGGATTGAAGTTCGACATTAGTCGTTCCAGTAGGACATGGAATAAGATAGACATCATTGCCATTCTCATCCTTTCCCTTGACAGCATGGTGAAAGACATTTGACATATCAAAATAGCCAGTCTTCACGACCTGCGGAGTTTGAGATCGACGACATCTGATCTCGTCATAATGTTGTTGTTGAAGTGGTAGCCAAGACGAGGCTATGCGCCCCTCCAAAAGGCCTTGAGACCTAATCACCTGTTGAGCCAAGAAGGCCGGCCGAACCAAAGGAGAGATGGTCCAAAGAGAGTGCGAAGTAGACCAACTTTTTGCGGGACCTTATAGGCCCCAAATTCACCCCGCCACGTCGCTGGAGAAGTCTTGAGCAACTTCTGTTCATGATACAGATGCCTCACATGGTTCAAACTTGTTGTTGACTCACCGCTTCACAGTACTTGACCTTTACAGCCGAATATTTCAACGGCAATCGAATGCCCACAGAGTAGCATATTAACGATTAATGTCTCAGTTATTATTATTAATCACATCCATGTGAATCTTTAACATCATATCTTGTGCTTTGGGACATCTTGTATTATTCCCTACTGTATTGTACACAACATCCATATTCCTCTTGTGTAGGGTCGTTCCCTTTTCATGTGGATTCATGTCAAGAGGATCAAGTGTGATCGGGCATTCATCCCTCTGACTGATGATATGCTAGATGATATGGGTGTTACTATTGACCCGACTGCAACTGGAGACCACGAACCTACAGCTGAGCGAAACAATAGGACGCTGAAAGAAAGAGTCAGAGTAGCTCTTGCACGATTACCCTACAAAGTGAGGTATTGAATGTCTTTTCCCAGAAAGACAGTATTTCCTCACATTTCAGTCCGCAGTAAATCATCAATAATGTCAATATCAACTACAAGAGTGACATGGTTGCTGAGCTTGGACAGTATCTTCATGCAATTGGGACGGATTCCAACACTTCAATGGAACCGCGAAGTATGGTACTATCTGTTACCGACCAAGTAATCCAGAAGGTGTTACTTTTGTCAAGTTCTTCGATAAGAAGAGAGATTTGGAGACATTTCAAGATGACAATCAAATCGCAGGAGTGGATGACACAGAACAAGGTTACTTAGAAGAAGCCTTTGATCAGGAGTATGAACCTGAAGATGAAGATGAACGTGATTTCAATCTACGTGGACAATTTGATGATATTGATGACTCCAAAAGAGAAGAGCTCTTGGCAGATGCAGACAATTATGTCGATGATATGCCAGAACTCACTGTCAGATTCCAAGGAGATGATGACTATGAATCAGATGACGACAATTCGGGTGATGATGAAGAAGATGTTGGGATATGACGAAATATGAGTTTTTACGTTCCAAAAGAAACTATTCAAGTACGAGGTTTT